AGGAAGAGCTCTTAAGAAGATATTTTTGTATAAAGAGGCTCCAATTGTAATTGTGAACGAATTTAAATATTTAGGTGTTGTCATGTCTCGTAGTGGACTGTTCCGAAGTGCAAAACCACATAAATTTAACTAAACAAAAGTCAAAAGCCATGTATGGTGTACTTAGAAAAATAAGATATTTTAATTTGCATAAGTTAACATACATAATGTGCTGCTTTCTACATAAATGCTTTTCTGAAGGTTTATTTATGTACCCATGGTTGAAATGTATAAGAGATATTTTGAATTCCTGTGGTCTGTCTTATGTATGGATGAATCAAAATTTCTTAAGTATAACATGGTTAAAGACTGTTGTGAAAGAAACATTGTTAAGTCAATTTACACAAGAATGGTTTATGAGTATAGAAAATTCATCTAAATGTTTAAATAATAGGATTTTTAAGATAAGAAATATTTTTCTAATGTAAATACTTGTAAATTTGAGAACCTTATGTCCACCACAGATGTAGACTCATTGGTAAAGCTGTCTTTGTTTGTTAAATAGATATTGGCATGTTTTCAGTAAAAATCTTCTTATATATATATATATATATATATATATATATATATATATATATATATATATATATATATATATATATATATATATATATATATATATATATATATATATATATATATATATATATAAACATTTTCAACAGTGAAATACTGTGATTTATTTATTGAATAAAATTGATATTCTCTCACAGTGTGAAAGGATACCAAAATGATATTCTCTCACAGTGTGAAAGGATATCAAAGTAAGTAAAAAATCATTTCTGGTCTGTCATAAGATAGAGTTAGTAACTAACCATCTTGATGGAGCTAAAACGGCAAATTTCTTCCCAAATATGTTGCTAAATTCATGCTATGTAATGTTTTCAATCTCACAACTGCAAAGCTATGACGTCTCAACCGCTCGACTATGAGGTCAAGCCTATGACAGTGTGTTAAGAAAAGACAGAGGCAAAGGGAAAATCAAAGAAAATGTAATAAACAGAAAATTCAATGTTTTGTAGATGAATATGGAATTTATTTCACTCGTGAGATAGGACTTTTTTATATATTTTCACTCGTGCTTCGCACTCGTGAAAATATCAAAAAATCCTGTCCCACTCGTGAAATAAATTCCATATTCATCTAAAAAACATTCAATATCCTCTATATATATATATATATATATATATATATATATATATATATATATATATATATATATATATATATATATATATATATATATATATATATATATATATATATATACTACTCCTCCTTACTTGACCTGATATTCTATATATATGTAAATGTGTTTATGTACCTCATGTACCATTGTATGGTTTGAGAGTAATAAACAAATAAACAAAGACTGATACATTTCTGGATTGAAATTTTGATGAAAAAAATATCAATTCTATTTTGCTGTGGTTTAATTTAAGAAGATTATTTTACATCCAGCTATCTTTATCCTGCAAGCAATTTATGAGTCGTTTAAAATATTTGATATTATGCACGAAAATCACTTCTGAACTGAGAACTACCGGTATTATGGGAGCTGCCATTACCGACGCTAACCGTACATGAAACTCAACTTCCATTTTTCTATAGTCAATTTCCCTTACTTTTGTAGCAATATACTCTTATCACCTGTATATGGGGTTTATATCTTTTTCTCCTCACAATAATAAGCAATGTTGACTGGTATCTTTCATACAATCTGACTAAATCCAGACCTCTATTTAAGTAGAGGAAGCTTAATAGATTGATTATTATTTCACGTCCCTTGCCAGAATTTTTCACTCATATGAGACGTCAAAATATACCGGTGAAGGGCTTCAAATTTGGAAATATGCTCGGCACTTACGGACATTGAACAATGAAGGATCTTTATCCTGCCAACGCCTGTCATATCTGAAAGACCCGTGACTCAATATATTACATGTAGCTGCTTTTTCAATAAAAATGGATCTTGTAAATATACTGACCTCGTCATTGGTCATTTGCAAAATTATTTTGTTAAAAAACATTCTAATTGTACACACAATATACTCTGAAGTTTTATTAAAAAGATGGTTGAGTTTCTGATTAACAATATCTATGTAGTTTTTTTGAGATCATGTATTTAACAATCTGTTCGAATTCCCATGGATACCAATTGTAATTATTAGCAGACCTATTCTTATATTCATATGAAGCATAATTTATTCATAAACTTCTACATGAAAAGAAAAACACTTGTGGCTTTCAACTCGACATTTACATGTAGATATATCGATGACACATTATCAATTAAGAATAGTTGCTTCCATTCACATTTCGACTCGATAAATCCCAGTGAGCTTGAAAAAAAGATACCACAGGGTCTGACACATATGTTTTATATTTGGATATTTAACTAGAAAAAGACGTTAATGGTAACCTAACAACAAAGCTTTATGATAAACTTCCCTTACTTTATGTAGTAATTTACCCTTATCACCTGCATATGGGGTTTATGTCTCTCAGTTGATTCGATACGCAATAGCATGCTCTACGTATGAACAATATTCAAAACGAGGCAAGCTATTGACAAACAAGTTGATGAAACAAGGATATCAACAGTCTTGTTTGTCGTCATCATTTCGAAAGTTTTATGGTCAGCTAATACAACCTATCATTAAGTAAAATGCTGACTGACGTTTTTCATACTAATTGTTAGGCCATTATTTACACGCTGAATTGTCGACGGATTTTGCCGTTTTTCCGATCATAACAAGGAGCACACGGCGGGTGTGTCCGGTCGGCATGGGATAATTACTCCTCCGTGGCACCTGATTCCACCTCTGATGTTTTTGGAGGTCCTTGTTTGCTCTGCTCCTGTTTTGTGTTGTCTAAATGGACTTTGAGCTTGAATACTGTTCGATATCTCCATAATTCTCGTTAACACAAGCTAGTTATTTTGTTATTACAAGTTAGATATCTCGTTAAAACGAGTTTGTATCTTTGTGGTTGTTTGCATCTTTCGTACGAGAAACTATGAAAGGAAAATGGCGGAGATTTTTAATCGATTTTGAATTAATAATTATCGGTAGGTTTTAATTATCATGAAGTCTTGAACTATCTTGCTGTCAATAGTCCTATTTTATTAAGTAAAGCAATTCTGTGGAGAACACATTAACGCATTCGTTGCATAATATCATGGTGTTGAAAAGATTTTGTGAACAAGCAGGTATCTGTCTTGGACTTTTAAAAAATATCAAATGTACAAGACAATGACCTAATATGCCTCTTTTCCTTGAGCTCTTTATCATGCACAATACAAACAATTTTAGATGAACTTGTTCAAATAAAGTATTTTTCGTGAATCTCCAAACTTCACTGCCATACAATAAAACTTATTTAACAATTCTGTCACAGATCTGACGAAAAAAGGTTACATGTATGATACTTGCATTTTGAAATCACTCCATACGTAAACATTTATATGTTGTATTTTTTTTGTATATTTTGTTAAAAGATCCTGATTTGGAGAAAAACATTCCAAAATATTTATAGCTATCACCGACATCTAAGTAAAAATCATTAAAAGTAAAATGTAGATTGTTTTCTGCTAAGCGACCACTACCCAAAATACTAATTTTTTCCTTGTCAACATTCACTTTTAACCAACATTTCATACAGTAATTATATGGATTAGGTTAGCACAGACAGACAGACAGACAGAGACATTAATGTTCTATTGATTGTTTTGAGTTTCGAAATTAGACAAGAAATATGCCAATAACACTAGGTGGGAAATTGGCTCTAGGGGAAATCGCAATCTGTAACTGTAAAACAGAGTAGGATTTTCCCCCGTAAAATTGAATCTAATGTGGGATTTCCGTGAGGGAAATCCTATTCTAGATCCATTTTTCCGTGGGGAAAATCCTGTCCTAGTGGGGAAAATCATACTCTGGATTCATTTTTCCGTGGGGGGAAATCCTACTCTAGAGCTAACAAGTACTTTCTGGGGGGGAAATCCCGCTCTAGAGCTAGTTATCTGAGGGGAAAGATTTTAGAGGGGAAATCTTACTCTACAAGACCGGTACTTACACTATATTAACCATTCAATGATTGTTTACACTAATAAGTTGAAGACTTTGAAAGTCACACACTGGTCAAACAAATAAATAAAAATCACTGCAACTCATCAATAACACATTAGTTAAAGTCATTTTTTAATAATCACAGTTATATAAAAAGTTGTAAAGAAATTTATATTCACATGTATGACAGTTGCAAAGTGTACTTTGTTCTATTATATAAACTATTTGCAAAAGATAATGTCAAATCTATGACAATTGCTTGATTAAGCCATATCATCTTACTATAATATGTACACATACAGTAAGATAACAAATTGTCAAATCAATGAAGCATTTGATGTACATTTTTTTTTCTTCTGTTGATATAAATGATTTGGAATAGATATTGAAAACTAAATGAACATAGTCCACAAAAAAGAGAAAGATTTGGTCATACTCTTAATATGACTTGAAAATTCAACATGTATCCCATGCACTGGGGAAATAAAATCACATTTGGTGCAAATACTAACATAAACAGTTAATAATGACTAGCATACAAAGATCACACTTGCTTTGATGAGCTCTCCTCAATAAATGGACGGGACTTTTCAAACATTATATAGTCAAACTTCGTTACCTCAAACTCAATGGAAAAACTGAGAGATATTTAAGGGGGATAAAAAAAAAACAGAGGAAAAGTGGTTAGGACTTGCAAATTACTTTGACTTATGCATATTTTGAGATATCAATGTTTGAGATAGCAAATTTTAACTGTACATATTATAAAAATTAACATTCATTTGATATAATTTATTGTCAAAAAAAAAACTAACTAGTTTATGGAGATCACTATATTTTTAGTCTTTAAATATGAAATATGTTCCAGATCTTGAAAAAAATTTAAAAGGAAAAATAGGAATACAATTTACTCCTGAGCACCTCTGATGCATATTAAATTTATGTTAAAGTCTACAGAATGATGCATGACTTAGATGGCTGGTTCCCTCCTTCACCTGGTGCCCGTGCCTCTCTCTTCTGTAGCTCTGTTTTGGTTTGCTGTAGCTCTTTGTTGAGGGATGTGATCTGTTTATCTTTATCCTCATCCTCTTTTGCCAGGCGGATGAGCTTCTTCTCTAAGTCAGATATCCTCTGAGCCGAGGCTTCCCCTCCTGTTCCATTGGATGCCTGAGCCTTAAGTTTTTCCAAGTCAGCCTCCAGTTTCTTGATCTGGTCTGTTTTTTCCTGGTTTTCTTTCTCCACTTGTGATATTTTGGCTTCTTTATCCTTGATTTTCTCATAATCTTCTTTCATTTTTTCCATGTCTCCCTTTAGTCTAACATTCTCCTCTATCAAGGATTTCATGGTTTCTTTATCTGCATTCTGATTGGCCAGTGTAGACTCTAGCTTCTCCTTTGAAAAAAAAAAAGAACTGTATTTATAAACAATGTGTTGACTCTCATATATAGCTTCTGAGATACTACCAGGCCTAAACTGCAAAATTGAATATTCTCACAGAAGATGAAATTTAATTAGAATTACCTTTACCTGTGCAAAATAAATTTTCACATTTGCACATAAATGTACAGCTACTTTTTTGCATTTCATAATAAACAAGTTTTATCAACATTTATGTGTACTTGAATCAATGCAGCTTAAAAATTGAAAAAAAAAATACATGTAAGCTAATTAATTTTGAATAATTCAAAGTTAAAATAATAGATGGCTCTAGTACATTCTGTCAGTGAGTATCATGATATATCAATAACTCAGTAAAATCAAGGTGTCATTTTTTTCATGTCAAACTGATTTCAGTAATTGTTTTTGTCAAAAACAATCTGTTCTCTTTGAAATTCTTTTCCTTTCATTTAAGATTTTGTTTTCACTAGATGTAATCATTAGGTTAATTTTAATAATTCATCCAACTCTAAGGTTCCTTTTTCTATTATATCTGTTAAATTCTACAATGGGTATTTTTTTTTTTATTCCAATAGTCAAACAGTTCTGCACAGTGCAAATTGCCTTGTTATGGCCCTGCAACCATTTCCCAATTTCCCTCCATTGAGGATCATGGCAATGTCAGGTCTTTATTTGCCTTCAATATGTCAAGCTCATACTCTTTCATTTTTATCATTTACTAATATCATTAATATATGGGTGTACAGTGTGGCTAACCTAGTAAACAAGACTGCCATGAGCTGGTATTAACGGAAATTTAATTACTTGTGCAGAATATTGGCCAGACTCTGAACAATATTACAAATATTCTGAGTATAATATACAAGCTTTACTCTGTAATCCCTGATGAACACCTGTTAATTAAGTCTATTTAATTATCTATAGCCAGGTGATACAGAGGGACAGAAAATGATATTAAATTTCAGACATCATGGAGCACTGTACTTAATATTGAGGGAAAAACCCGCTGCATTGTCAGTTAATTGGAACTGCATCTCAACATACCTGAAAACTCTTTTTTCCCATCTCTGTAGATCACTGATTAGTTCTAGATGACCACAGTACATTTACATATGTTTTGCAAGAGTTTCTGGTATTCAAGATATCACTGTACTAGATAACAAGCTCAACTGTACTTTGTACATGTATACATGTACATATATGTATTGAGTACAAAGGATATGTCTTTGGACTCTATCTTTCCATGAATACAGATTTCAACCTCAATATTCTTAACCCTTGTTTATCTGCACGTTTTCTGAAAGACACACCATATTGCAGATATATCCCAAAAGAAGATTTACATGTAAGGGCCACTTCTTTTTATTAGGTCTCAGTTTTTCAAGACTGACCAACCGACCAAAATTTTCAAGAATTTTAAGAGAAAAACAAAATAAAATGTTTCACTTTGAATCTTTTTTTTTCAACTTCATCCCAAAAAAGATGTTTCGCAATTTCTTAAAAAATTTAAATTTGATAATTTTGGTTCATTAGATATTGATATATCCAATATTTGTTAATGGATGTTCAAGGTGTGGGATTCCCCACTTGGCTACCAAAACATAACTGGTACATGTATGCAAATTTTGAAAATCCAAAAAATTGGATTCTAGGTTTAAATTAGTTTTTAATCATTTTCACTGTTGAAAGAGGGATATATAAATAAAAAAATAATTTTTGGGGTATGGAAGGAAGAGGTTTATCATAAATTCTGACCTAAATATTTGTCTTTAATTTCATTTTATTAACCTACCTACCCACCCATAGACATTTTTTTTCTGATTTGGTTTTCTGTTTAATGTTTTTAACATCCCTGTCTTATTTCTAGAAAGTATCAGACAAAAAAAGTATTTAACTTGCCATGTACTTTCTACCTAGACATGAAGTCCAATGAAATTATAATAAACTTTAACAATGTAGAAAGACAGTGGGGAAGCACTCACATATATGCAAAAAAAAATCGCTAATGCTTTCCATGGTGTGTTTGAATTATATTAAACTGATAAATATCATACAGCCTTAATTTTGATGTAGTTATAGTAAAAGAAAACTAACAAATAACCCTGATTGAAATCAGAGTCACAATGTCCTTGACCTTTCCAGTTCTAAAATTTACCTCTAATTCCTTTTTCTTTCTTTCCTCTTCCTCAGCCTCTCTCTGCCTCCTCTCCTCCTCCTCTTTCTGCTTCCTCTCTTCTTCTTCTTTTAATCTTTGTTCTTCCTCCATTTTCTTCTTCTCTCCTTCCTCTTTCTTTCTTTCTTCTTCTTCCTTTAATTTTTGTTCTTCCTCCAGTTTCTTCCTCTCTTCTTCCTCAGCTTCCTTCTGTTTCCTTTCCTCCTCTTCTTCCTTTCTCTTCTTCTCCTCCTCTTCTTCTGTTTTCTTTCTTTCTTTCTCCTCCTTTTGCTTATTTTCTTCCTCTAGGTTTGTTTCTTCTGATGTTTTTGTCTCCTCCCTTACCTCATCAGTCCCCCCTTTCTCCTCTTTCTTTTCCTCACTTTTCTCCTCCTTTACTTCAGCCACAGCCTGCTCACCTTCTGTGGCAACAGCAACTGCTTCTTTCTCACCTTCCATTCCAGAAGAGTTCAGTTTTTCAGTATTTTCTATATTGCTCTCTGGAGTGTTTTCACTTTCAGTTGGATTTTCGGCCTCTTTTGTTTCAGAGTTTTCTTCAGCACTATTTGAATTGTCTTGGTTTTCAGTTTCAGTCACTCCTTCAGTATCCTTTACATCATCGGTTTCTTCAGATTTAGTTTTATCCTCCTCGGGAGAATCCGGCTGTAATTCCTTATCCTCCTTTGTTGGACTTTTAGGTTCTAATTTTTCCTCTGTAAAGATGAAATTCAATAGGATTAGACTGGTCTATGCAAAGTGTTGCCTACCAGGTAAACAACACACCTTCACTCACAATTGATTTTAATGGCACGTCACTCAAGCCATGTTTAGTAAACACTTAATAATATATAAACCCTTGAGAAATCAGTATATCAGTGATATTGATGACAGAGATGAAGAAGGTACACATGCACCACTTATTTTAAAGTTTACAGACCAATGTCAATGATCCTTGATTGAAGTGTTCCGACAGTAAAGTCAAATGAAGTCATTCTACTACATATGTACAAGACAGCATCATTAAACTCCGCTAATCTCAAAGATAAACAGTTTTTATAAGTATTGAGATCAATTTTTATTAAAAGAGGTCTACCTTAAAGAATATATTAATAAATCATCTTCAGATTCATATTTTTTAATATATGTCAGTATAAAATACTTGTTTGAAATCTTGTCTTACAAGTATATACAGTACACATGCACTTATTTGTCTCATTATAGTCTACAGTGGCAATATTTTGCTTGAATCTTGATAAAAATAAAATCAAACTGTTTTGATGAACAGTTTTTAGTCCAGTAATTTAGTTTTTGAGTAACTAGAAGTATTGTGAGAGACACAGAGAGAATGTTATTTTATTATAAAAGAAGGATCACCCGGAAGTTTTCATTTACTCAAGCCCTAAAATTGTAATCTGACTCAGAGCCAATGCAATGATTTGCAACAATTAATTTTTTCCTGCATAAGATAAATTCCATCTGGTCTCCTGTTAATATCAGAGAACAAACATCCATATTTAGATATCCCCCTCTCTCTCTCTGTGCTCTTACTGTCTCTATTATGGCTACAGAGTTCTGCATAGCAACAATCTGATTCTTCACAAATTCTCCGACTTGTAATCAATTTGTAATGTAACTGACTAAAACATATTGGCTTGTTTAGAAATATTTCAATAAAATGACTTAGGGATGTGTGTAACTTATGATTATTTTTAATATTTAGGATTTTGGCAGTTACTCAATAAAATGACGATCACAAAATACTTGATCTTCTATCCTATTCTAAAATTTTGTAAATAATTAATACCGATCAATATTGAAAATATAAAATTCTACAACCGTAGCTAAATTATGTTTAGAAAGTTTTTTTTTTGGGGGGGGGGGGGGGGAGGGGGGGTGTTCAATGTTTTCTAAAGTGTCAGTTCAGATATTATAATTTATTGTCACTCTGTCTGTGTAAGATTAGCCTGACCTTGTAGATGTGCACTAAGGTTTTGGAATATTCTTAAAGTTGCACAAGAAAACTATACAAGAAACATCTAAATTCAATATTAACCACAAAAAGATTCAGACTGAGCACAAGTCATTTATTTCATGTGTTTTTTTTTTCATGAATGTGTGATGATTTGTTTTAATGCTTTATATTATATTGGAATCTTAAGAGCTGAGTCCTCAATATTGCATTGATAAGAGTTTAACCATTTCTCTCCAGATCTTTATTTTTGTTTAAGGTCAGTAATCTTAAGAAGGGCTTCAAGTTAAAGCTTTATTGAGATTAGTATTTTCATTCATATTGAGATGCCACCACTTGCCGGTGGAGGGCAACAAATTTAGACCTTTTCTTGACACTTAATGTCTTTAAGCAGTGATGGTTTTTTTTTCGTGCCTGAGCACTTACTGTAACTCAGGACCTTGGTTTAACGGTCTCATCTGAAGGACCAGTCTCCAAGTTCCACAGGGGATTCAAACCCAAAACATAAGGTATAAATCCTTACTCCATGACTGTAGAGCAAATGCTCTAACCACTGCAAGCAGCTGGTGACAGATTTAGCCAATAAATTTTATCCCCCAACCTTACCCACCCCGCCTCATGGATTTTATAAATTAAATTGATTACATCTATATTTTAATGTGAAATCATTAGCCTTTATGCTCTCCCCCATCACTGTTACAGGATTAAATTTTTCATGGAACAGTTGCCAACAGTTTCATCTTACAATTGAGAGGATAAAGTATGCAGCATGATCAAGTATGAGTTAGGGATTATGTCCAAATACCTCTGTATATTCCTTAGTGATGGTCAGCGAAGACCAAATAGGGAGCAAGCATTGCTTTTTAGGAATAAAGAGATTATCCTGTTCCATTCCTAATACACAAATGTGTTGCCAATTTTGTTTCCTCATTCAACAAATGATAGCAAAATAACTATCAAGTGTAGAGATATTGTAGGTTAGAGACACATTACTGACTAGGAATGGGGATTATAAAGTTTAACAGACACAGCAAGAATGATATAAAAAAATGTTCAAATTAATTGATTAATTTTCTCCTTTTTTTGCACTAAATATTCAATGAAAAAATTGTGATAAGCTAATTTTAAATCTGATGTTCATAGAAGTACATGTATATTTTATACATGCATATACAGGTCCTAAAAATTATTTCAAAAATTTAACTTCATATTTTTTATAAGCTAATAAATCCCAAAGATGGTATGAAATAAAAGGGATTGTTTATTAAGATTATTTACTATAATGGCAATTTTCTTTTTATCTACCGAACCTAAACATTTCAGTGAACCTATGATTTTCAGATATGCAACTAATTAAGGTATTCATCATCTTAAAAAATTTACTTTTCGTTCAAATTAGTGTACAAATAAAATAGAATATGGATAAACAAATATTGTTTACACAGACAATTTGTGAAAATACAAGATTGTTGAATTAGGAGTTGTTCCCCTTTAACACACTCTTTACTTGAAAGATTTGACAAATTTCAGGTGTTTAAATATTTGGCAATTCTTTACAAGCATGAGGTTGCATTATAATATTTATCTTAATTTTCTTTATTAGTAGTAAAAAAAAAAAAGAATTACACATGTAAGCATTAGGTGTAAATATTAAATAGTCATTTGGGTTTACAATGCATCTATACCACTGTATACATTGAACCAAACTTCTAAGTGTTCACCTAACATTTTTTAATTTTTAAAAAACAAATGCATACAATAAATAATTTCTTTAATTCATGGTTAATGATGAATATTTCAGTTCGATGTTGCGTAAATTTCATGTAAGTATCTCGTCAGAATTTTAAGCAAAGTGTCAAGGACATGATGTACCCTCAAAATGAAAATTCACATAAAATAATCTCTAAGGAATAAGACCACCACTCGCTTAAATTACTGCAAAGCATATTCTTTTCTCATGGATACCATGTACCCCTGAATAGGATATTGACCCATCTGCTGCCACACCTACTGCATGGATCTTTCTAAACCGTTGAAATTGTGTGGAGGGGGGGGGGTGCTTTGACATTCCTTACAAAAATCCCAAATGTATTCAATAGGATTCAGATCCGGGAATTTGACAGTGCATCATCACAGATACCTTTTGGTCAATATTCTTGGGCGTTTCGCATGTAAGTGTACCTCTTTAAGGATGATTCAGACTGTTCGAGATGATATTAGACTGCCACCAGCACCAATTTCTTATCATTTTCTTACCATTTAAGTTGTTTGTTTTAATGTTTCTAAAATTGTTTCAGGACAACGTAACAAACTTTTAACCTAGTTGTGATGCGAAATGTTGGCCTCAGATGAAGATCCAGATCACTTCCGGTTTGATGAAATTTTGTCCAAAACTTTCAAATTGTGACAAGTTGGCGATGAAAATGACGCAGAACCTATAGAAAAATGTGTTTAAATGGGTTTTTATACTTGTTGTTAATTTTTAAAAGTAAAATCAAGGACAAATAAACACTAAAATCAAAGTGAGTAAAACATGGTGCAAGGATGATCCTGGATAACAACATTCCAATGGCTCTCCCTCATTTCTCAATGGTTATTTTGCCAATGTTTTTTGTTTTTTAGTTAAACCAATTTTCAAAAATTGAAAATGGTCACAAAAAGATGCTGATCACACAAAATACTTGCCGTAAAGTACAGATTTATTGTTTTTACGCTTCGTCACGGTACATTGGTTTTCATCGGTGATAATTGATTTTCTTTCAACAATTGTTGAGAAGACTCGTTGGTTATAATAATTTGAAAATATCATACCATTCTATCTTGTAGTTTTTAAATAAATACTTTTATTAGAGTGAACACTTAGAAGTTTTGTTAAGTGTACATAGAGTGGCTTAATGCCAACTTATTAACAAAATAAAGATTTACATATGTACTATAAAAACACCTACCTTGATATTTCTAGACTCAATTGAACTAAAGAAACCCAGCTTTACTATGTATTCCTGTCATTTAAAAGGACTTTACATTGCTTTATAAAATCCCTCATCTCATTAGTAACATAAATCATTTCCTCTTTGTCCAACAAACTCGTTGGTAATGAAACACCTTTCTATATAAGGTCACAGTGGAGTATTCACTACCCCCTATCTTGTGAATACCAGAGAAATCTGTGTAGGTTGAAAAGTTATCACAAATTAGAGGGAAAAAATTCTCTGGATCAATATTGTAACAGTGTCGATCACAGACTGAAAATAGTTAAATATGAAGCAGTCGAGAGTCCAATTTAAGATGTGGGTAACTGTATCAGTTATAGAGATGAAAGGCTTTCACGTCACTGCTGTAATACCTAAGTCTCATCAATATACACTCATAATCCAAATTTTAAGATACCCATGTATATACCGGTATAAATAAGTCAGTCCATTTAATATCCTAGCTGTTAAACCCAGCATGTATTGGTTCTACTTTTTTGTATCTATATATAAGACAAGAAATTGGTTTTCTAAAGAAATTGTAACTGCATGATTTCAAAATTCCAAATCTATCTTTTAAGATGTTAATTCAAAAGACAAAGATTAAAAGTATTGAACTTTAAACATGTTCTGATTATACCAGCCCTTAGACTGTTGACAAAGAATTAAAAGACTGCAGGTAATTTTATAGGATTTAAATTAAACCTTAACTGTATAAACAGCAATCACCGTGGTATATACCTGGTCACTGAAGAGAATAGGGTGTTGTAAAAATTCCATTGACAAGTCCTGTCAAATCTACAAATTATCTCCCTTCGACACAGTGCATCAGACTATTAAATGTGACTGGAGGATTTTATATATGTGTGTTTTGATGATTACCAGTAATGTCTATGTAGTAGAACTGGGAAAGAATGCAGCAAGGGTTTTTTTTTTTTTTTTTTTTTTTGTAGTCTTGCAGACAGAGTTCTGTGGTATTTTAGTACAGTCCATATTGATTTTTTCCAGTAACACAGTATTTAATATTTTACCTGCAAACCAGATTTATTATGACCTTGTTTGTGATGCCAGTCTTATATTACATGAATGTGTGTATATAGTGGATAATCCTCTTTGTTATGTCAGATTTAAAAGTATACACATAAAATATTCATGTAAGCACATTGTTCACGATAATCATAAAAATGGAATTCATTAGCCACCCAGAGTCTCCTTTTGTAATGATTAAAATCTAGTCTTTTTACAGAAATGATTTGGAACTGAAGGACCTGGGGTGAGAACAGGAAATATACCACAGTCCAGAAAGAAAGGAAGTTAAAGGATAACAGTACAAACAGTACAGTAAAACTCAGCTATAGAGAAGTTCTGGGGACCTGTGAATGTACTTTGCTATATCTGTAATTCATTATATCCATATAATGAATTTGTTAAATTATACATAATGAATTTATGATCAAGATTTTTTCCTTCAAGTATGCATGACTACCAAATGTATTTAGGGAAGTATAAAATACAAAATTTACCTTGGAGTTCAAAAGTTTTTGTACAAATTGAGTTTCAAATAAAAACACTTACAAAATGTATGCCAATTCAATATTTTAAAATTGAAATCTTTGAATATTGTCATAAAAGATGTAAATTAAGTTATTTTTAATGTCTAGGGAACACAAAATTAGTTGGCTGTAACCGTAAATTTGCTAATTCAAATTTTTTTGATCTGTAAAATTTTACTAGGAATTGTTAGGAATTTTGCCAAGTATTTCAAAAAATTTTGCTATATCTGTAAATTTTCTATATCTTTGTTCGTGCTAAATGAGTGTCCCCTAGACAGTAATGTGTACAAATGTCTACCTGTCTGAGTACATTACACTTATATGTATTGTACAAATGCCTACCTGTCTGTTTACATGTACATTAATGTGTCATAAAGTCTTTTTGTCTGTGTACATGTAGATGTACAGTAATGTATAGAAATGTTTACCCGTCTCTATAAATGTAAAGTAATTTGTACAATTGTCTACCTGTTTGTGTACATTACCTCTCAATGTGATAATTGTCACATGTTCAGTAATGTGCACACACATTAATGTTCATTAATGTGTGCACACATTACAGTACATTACATGTACAGTAATTTGTAGAAATGTCTACCTATCTGTGTACATATAAAGTAGTGCATAATAATGTCTACCTTCTGTGTACATGTACAGTAATGTGTAATAAATGTCTACTGTTTTGTACATGTACAGTAATGTGTACAATTGTCTACCTGTCTGTGTACATGTACAGTAATTTGTACAATTTTTTGTCTACCTGTCTGTTTATATGTTCAGTAATTTTTACAATTCTCTACCTGTCATGTACAGTAATGTATTATAATGTCTCTGTCTGTCTAGCTGTACGAGGGGTGATCAAAAAATTCGCGAACTAACTGAATTACTTCCTTAAAAGAAATAAAATGCAGTTTCAGTGTTTATTATTTTTTAAAGTAGTCCTCTCCGATTTTAATGCACATCTGCCATTGTTCTGCCCATGCGCGAATCACATGATCCAGGCACTCATGTGACATGCTCCGAAGCAGTCTGTTCAGAGAAGCTAAAAGATTTTTCCGAGTCTTATATTTCTTACCATGGAAGTTATTTTTTATAACAAAAACAGTCCATCTGTCAGAAATGGCCAAATCTCGGCAATAGGATGGGTGGATAAGGATATCCCTTCCCACAATTAGTATGGTGACCCATCAAAACCCGAGTCCTCTGTCTCGGGAGAGTCGTAGACCCAATGTGGATAAAGTATGGGCGCCTTCTTTTTATCATATCTCATATGTTTAAAGTCTAAAGTAAACAATATTTTAGAGATTTAATAATTATATTATTGTTAAGATATACAACCATTTTTCTAATTGTTACTTGACGATGTTTCATAACAAATTGCTCAACTAAGGACACATCTCTTCCCCGGCTTGCTTTCGATGGGCAACAGAACAAACATCATTTTTAACCGTCTCCCTGTCTTTACTTAAACAATCAATCCATTTAATGATTGAACTTCTGGTAAGTCTTTTGTCTTCATAAACCTTATACAAATTATCATATTCTACTGCAAAGGAATTTCCAAGATATACGTTAAACTTTACAGCCGTTCGTTGCTTGAGTACGACTGAGTCAACCATTTTTTGTCACAAGTGACCTACATATTGACGTCATTTTCACATTGTGACGTCAAAAACAAGGAGCAAAACATTATTTAACATATGTTATTTATAGAAAATGTGTATGACTACATGTGTGCCAAATTTCATTCTGATCTGAATTGTGGTTTTGTAAATATAGAGATAGTTCGCGAACTTTTTGATCACCCCTCGTACAATAATGAAGTCTACCTTTCTGTTTACATTTACAGTAATGTGTACACTCATCTACCTGTCTGAACATGAACAGTAATGTGTACAATTGTCTACCTGTCTGTTTACATGTACAGTAGTTTGTACAATTGTCTACCTCTTTGTGTACATTTAAAGTAATTTGTACAATTGTCTACCTTTTTTGTACATGTACAGTAATTTGTACAATTGTCTACCTCTTTATGTACATGTACAGTAATTTGTACAATTGTCTACCTCTATGTGTACATGTACAGTAATTTGAACAATTGTCTACCTGTCTGTGTACATGTACAGTAATTTGTACAATTGACTATCTGTTTGTTTACATGTACAGTAATCTATAATAATGTCTACCTGTCAGTGTACATGTACAGTAGTGTGTACAATTGTCTACTTGTCTGTGGTCATGTACAGAAGTATGTATGATTGTCTTCCTGTCTGTGTACATGTATATGTACAGTAATGTGTAATAATGTTTGCCTGTCTGTGTACATGTATAGTAGTGTGTACAACTTTCTACCTGTCTGTGTACATGTACAGTAATCTGTACAATTGACTATCTGTTTGTTTACATGTACAGTTATATATAATAATACCTACCTGTCTGTTTACATGTACAGTAGTAGGTACGATTGTCTACCTGTCTGTGTTCATGTACAGTAGTATGTATGATTGTCTACCTGTCTGTGTACATGTACACTAATTTGTACAATTGTTTACCTGTCTGTGTACATAACCCTAATTTGTACAATTGTCTAACTGTATGTGAATATGTACAGTAATTTGTACAATTGTCTACCTGTCTGTGTACATGTACAGTAATTTGTACAATTGTCTACCTGTTTGTGTGTCTTCAGTGGCCTCTAGGATGTCCTTAATCTGGTCCTCCAGTGACTCCTCATTAACCTGGTTCTCTATTGGCTCCTCCACAACATCTTGGGAAGAGAAAATGAGGCAAATCTGATGGAACAGTAACTAGTGACAAAATCAATGTACAGAAAATATGGCTATTATTGGTGTCCTTTTAAATTCATATATATATATATATATATATATATATATATATATATATATATATATATATATATATATATATATATATATATATATATATATATATATATCAAACTACATTAATATGTTACATTTATGAATATGTGTTTTTTTTTTTATTTCACCTTTGGTTGTTTCTGTTGGTTGTTCATCTTTTTCACCATCTAAAGAATAAAGAAATGAAATAATAGATTATTAGTGTCTTAAATGCATGCCCCCCCTCTCTCTCTCTCAAAGCATTGGTATCTCGAAAAGACAAAACATTATATTTGTTTTAATTTTTTTTCATTCCAAGAAATATATTGGCAACTGTTAGATATTAATACATGTAACTGCAGGAGTATATATACATGTAATACCCTTAAGATCACCCCAGTCCTACTGATGTACAGATAGGTGAAGTCTTTTGTTTTTGTAGATGCATCTGTGGGTAATGCATACTGGGGGGGGGGGGGGTAGTGTACAAAGCTTTGTTACACTTTTTAATTTTTTTTTTTTGTATTTTAAAACTCTGTACCACTTTGATTATTCAGAATCCATAATTAATAGGCCTAAATTTGAGGGGGGGGGGGGGGGGCTGGGAATGTATAGCTGAAAATCAGGAACAAAATGTCAATACAAGGAAAAGTTTTAAAAGGGGGATGTTTCATCTTTTAGATTGTTTTTGTGATGCATATAAAGAACAATATAATTATATCAATCTAAGACTACACATTAGAAGGAGCAGATCCCCTTCCTTCAAATATTAGGGTAAATAATCTCCGAGTTATACTTACCATTTATTATATCTATATCAAAAATCTCATATCCCTCTAGAACTTTGAATATTATCTTGTTATTCACTTCCAACATGGCATACTCATAAAGATGGGTGTACCTACCAGAGTATTACGATCCCCCAAAAAGATAACCCGTGTTTGTCAGTAAAACTGATAGAGGGACATAAAGGTCTAGCCCATAGCAAAATTTGAAAAAAGTGGGTACTTCCTGGGGGGGGGGGGTGTCTTTGGTCAAAAGTATGGCAGGTTTTTTTTTTTTTCATGTGAATTAGTTTAAAAAATTTAAAAAGTTTGAGACACCCCATCCTTTATTAAATTATTGCTTTGAATGTTTGCGATCAATGTCTGTGTTACTTCATTATAATTTTCCTCATTAAAATTTTGTAAACCTGATCGTTTTTGAAAATGCAATTAACACCCTCTCCCCCATTTACTAAAAAGAAAACCATCGCCCCATATAAAGCATATTATAATTTTCATCCTTTATATAAAGATTTATCAATGAACTTTCCCTTTTATGACCTCTGAAATTTTCATTGTGCCACTGAAGTGGACACACAGAGTTAAATTTTATGTGTGACGATCTACATTCCTGTGATTTGAGTTATTTATTATGGATCAATAAAGAAATATACAGGATATATACATGTAAATAAGGCTTTAATGGAGAGTAGATAAAGACGGGAGAGACTAAGTATATCCTAAATTCCGTACATTTTGCCCAAAAAATTAAAAAATATTGACGAAAACAGTTTTTAAATTGATTTATAAATATCTATTAAAATGAGTATGAAGGAGTGTGCAACCGATAGGCCGATCCATTATCCTTTTTACATATGTAGTTATAATTGTATACCTGTTCATGTATTTATATATATATATATATATATATATATATATATATATATATATATATATATATATATATATATATATGTGTGTGTGTGTGTGTGTGTGTATTACCCCGGTATATTGACAATATAATGAAGTCGTATACCTGTTCAATATTGGTCAGAATATTTTACATATTATAGTACTCTAAGAAGATTGGTTTTATTAATATTTTCTTTAGTCACAAATTCATACATCTCTTGAAACTATATAGTACTTCGGCGCTTTACTTGATTAATACCTCGATTTTGACCACACCAAATCCAAATGAAGCTTCCATGCTTAATAGCACTAAAGTCAATGCGTTTATTATTTAAGATTGTGAATGACAATGAAAGGAAAAAAAATCAATGATGGCTGCACTTCTGCATCTAACTGGAGAATAAAACAATGATAAGGCAAACCCAGCACTAGCTGTAATCCTGGAGGAGAATTGGGATTTAAAGTTGCACAAATATTTCCATAATCTTAGCTAAGTTATATAATTCTGTGTAATTGTGTCAGAAATATATTCTTTAACATCGCTACCATGTCTGAGGAAACAAGTCAGAGAGAGTCATGAAAATCGTCAAGCCCTTCCTCTCATTCACATAAACATTTACTAAGTGTGCAAACAACTGACTTCTATTTATTGTCATCTGACTGGCAGATCAGAAGATTTAGTCTACAACTTGTGGAGGGTATTTGGAAAAAAGTCTTTGTAAAAGAAAAAAGAAAAAATTCTGCCTGTCTAACTTTTTCTCTTTTTTTCTTAGAATTTCTTAGAATTTTCCTCTTGTTTATTTTTAAATTTTTAAAGATTTTTCTGCCTGTCTAATTTTTTTTTATGTTAAAGAATTTTCTGCCTTACTCTTTAAAAAAATACTCTATCCATATTGAAAGAAGAAATCAAATTTATGCAATGAAATATCTGCCAAAATTCATTGTTTACGGAAGCGTAAAAAATGACCCCCCCCCCTTCTGGAAACTGGAAATTGTACCTTTCAATAAGATTTGAATTAACTATTTTTATCAACTAAGTAGATGTTAAAATTTAGTTAAAACATATTATGGAACCAGGAAGGATTTGATATCTGTTTTAAACCATTAATTATGACTATCTCGGAAACGAAAAAGAATTTTTGATTAGTTGTTGAACAAAAATTGTTCAAAATCATGACAGCTTTAAAATGGTGTTAACCTTTTACTCGCTCCGGTCGTTACTAAATCTTATTGAGACTTTAGGAGGTTTACAACGTACATGTAGCAATTACTACATGTAACTGCCAAAACATAACCGTATTATTAAGAAAATACATTTCCAAGAGGGTGAGGTACATTTTCTAGAAGACCTTTCACCTTACAATATTAGCAACATTCATTCTCTATTGATTTTCAGTCTCAAATGCCAACCCAGGACAGGCGGAGCCAGCACCCCCGTCCGGAACCCTCTTAGGATTATAGAATTATCAAATCTATACTGTAAAGTAAACAAAAAGGACTTTGGACCGCAGCCCCCGGAAAACACAGACCTCTCACAACCTAGTAGGAAGTCTTGAGCATAGGAAAACGACTTGTCAATCCCTCCCAACCTCTGAACTAGGTTTAAGCTTCCATGTTTGGGCATTTGGGGTTTTGTCTTTTTGTCTTTTTTGTCTTTTTTTGTCTTGTGAGAAATTGTGAGTCAGAGATATTTTTGTTTTTGTATGTCTGGGGGGATTAGGGGTTTAGGGTTTGGGGTCTGGAACCCCCCTTTCCAGGAAAAATTCCTGCTTCGCCCTTCGTCCTGTATTTACCTTCGATGTGTAATGTATAGAATGAATGAAGTGATACAAGGAGAGGTTTGATGAATGATAACATATACACGAAGTAAGATAGATACTGACTACATACAAGGTAGCGGTTCTATTTGCAACAGCCTATTTAAGGTTTGATTTGACATAATGCCAACATCGATGATTCTGTTCTTGTTCTTTGACAGGTTTCTTGTTTAATTGATTAAAATGTGGAGAGCTTAACAAAGTTTGACCTTTTAATCCTTTAAGAAAATTCTTAAAATTTCATTTCGACATTCAACAGGATTGTCACCTAACATGACTAGCATCGAACCTTAAAAAATCGTAAAAATGTTACCCTCTGTTAATGGCTCTGGTTCCGTTTTGGTGGGGACGGCTGATTGGTCAGGTGAAGTACTCTTCTTGTCCGTCTCGTCACTTCCTTCCTGGTTCTCTTTAGGGGATTTCTCCTCCTCCTTCTCCGATTTTTCTTTTTCTTCTTCATCTTTCTTCACTTCCTCCTCAGTATTTTCATTTTCTTTCTCTTCACCCTGATTTTCTTTGCTTGCCTCGTCTGTTTTTTCCTCTACTCCTTCTTTGCTGTTTACTTGGCTTTCGTCCTTTGAATCTTCTTGCTTTACTTCCTTGACATCACCAGCTTCCGTTTTTGCGTCAATTCCTGTTTCTTCTTTTTCTGTCAGTGTCTTATCATCTGATTTGTCAGTACCCGTGGCTTCCTTGGATACTTCATCTTTTACTTTCTCGTCTTTACATTCCTCGTCCTGCTTTCCAGCAGAGGAGTTATTTGTTTCAGCTTCAGATGACATACTCGCTCCTAAAATCGAATATAGAACATTTCTCTTCTAAAAAATAATGTTTATAGGAATATACCGAAAAAGGTGACTTTTAATCCGATTCAGCACAGAAAAGATATTTGGGACCGAGTTACCTGTATTTTGGAGTATCTGAGGTCAGTTAACGGAAGTGTTAACGTGCACAGCAAAGACACCTCATTGCACAAAAACAGCAAACAATCAAGCTTAATGTAATACTATGTTATAAGTTACAAAAATGAAATCATACAAAAATAACCCTGAAATAAGTGGAAAATCAACAGCAAAATGCAGTTGTACATTATATATCGTATAATACTTATGCATCTATGTCTTAAAAAAAGTATTCTTGAAAATTGTTGGAAGGACAAAGGAATCCACTAGCTATTATAGGTCAGTCATTGTAAAAAGAGTGGGAGACGGGTTCAAGGCTGCCTCTAGAACCGGGTACTCTACCCTTTCAAGCCTACCCCTATCCCCCACCCACCCACCAAACACTGAATCCTCTCAGGGTTAAGTAAACAGCTCTTCGCCAAAAATATTTTCACTACTGAATAAAATTCTCGAACGGAGGTGCATTTTTCATTTTATAATACAGGGATATTGAAGCACATTACATTTTATCCGGGTTGCATAATACTTACTCTTTTGTAGTATTAGAAACTCCCTTAAGGATTGACCACCATATACATATTCCTATCAAATAAACTCTATAAAGTATTGAATTTGTTGGTCAGCACTTCCTGTTTATAAAATTAGATGTTTTTGTAGAAATGACTCCTGGTACAGCAGACTGTTTTGTGATTTCTCCCCCCTCATTATTCACCTGTCTGTCGCTAATCAGTGCTTATGTGAAATTGATTAAGTATTGTAAGAGCCGAGTAATGACCCAGTCTATTTTATCACATCATGATTATAGGGCGCTCGGAACCCACCTGAGAGTATTAGAAGAGATTAAAATTAGTAAGACCTGTAATATAAGATTTAATTAAGAGTATATTTCATGTGTAAATTCCATGTGTGATATGTAAACTTTTTCAACTTCGACTTGCCCTAAGAGTAAGGCTTTACTACGCTACACAACTCCATTGAGAATTATTCTATATTAAATTTCATGTTTTGCAAAAGATATAGATTTTTCTTCATCTGTTTCGATTTTTATACACTTTTTAAAAAGCTTTTGTTTGTTTCCTTTTTGCTAGCTGTTTTAATTATTATTTTTTATTTTTTAAAATGATTTGTATTTGATTTTAGTGATCATATTTTAGAGTCTCAGAAAAGACGAATAGAATAAATTTATACATTGCATATGAAATGATTTTGGAGTTCAATTTCCCTTTTTCAGACTATGGTAACCCCCCCCCCCCTCTCCCAAGGGGTAGATGAACATACATTAGTGGCAAATAATGAAGTTCAGACAATTTCATTCTCCTGTCCACACCATAAGGAGTACAACAACTAGACTTTAATCAATGTATGTCAGATGAATTAACATATACTAAACTAGAAATTTTGCTTTCTTTTGACAATATTTTTTTTGATCAAAAGTGATACACCTACTAAGCATATGACAAAAGATGACAATTTTTTCCTTGCAAATCCCATATACTTGAGCCCATCCTGATGAATGAGATTAGGAAGATTTGCTACATTTATTATGTATAACCGCTCGGCTAAAATTATTAATTCTTACAACAATGACCGGAATTCTTAATCTCCTTTATATATGCAGTATTCTTTTTTTTAATAGCACATAAGAATTCTCTGTTGCTATAAAACTTCAAATCATATGCATTAATGCGCAGTCTCTCGCATGATTTGGTTAAATACCGCTATCAATGAAATGAACATAATACTAGTATTTTTGAGAGAGAGAGAGAGAGAGAGAGAGAGAGAGAGAGAGAGAAGTTTTCGTGAAAACTGTGAAAATAATACAAAACTTGATATTTTAAGAAATCGACTACTGTACTCTTCAGGACCATCAGTTTTGCTAGTGAACCGATCGATTCCCAAACTTCATGAGTATAACTGAGACTTAATCATCTTATCAACTTCAACATTTGTTAAAATACTGACAGATATAATAGCTAAATAAGGTACAAAGATGTGGCAAGCTTAACCTCTTTGTTTCTTATTCTTCCTACTGGATAACTGATAGTGGAGTTCTGAAACAGTAGAAATATTACCGATACTCACCTGTAACATATTAGACTAAACTTCATGTTCATCAAATTGTTTTTGCTTAATTGTAACCAACGTAAAACGTACATTTACAACTGAAACTCATTATTTCAACAATTATAGTTTAATCACTGTTCGTTATCTTCATATTTTACATGTTAAACAATCCGCCCTTGTCTTAGTTTGCGGACAAATATTTATCCCTGCCTTCAGAAATGTGTTCACCCTCTAACAAACGACAATTTTTTTTAATAAGTTAAGATGGATTCTTATAAAATAAAGAAAAAAATTAATTTGATATGAGGTAGTAAAATACCAGTCCATTCATATTATATTTCAGTAATAAAGAATGTCCATTGAGAAACTATAGATGAATTTACCGTAGGATTAAAGGAAAGAGTTATCATTTTTATAGTTTTATTTTATTTCCCCGTTTTAAAAATATAGCACCATAAAAAAGTGATTTAGTACAATTAATCTTAAAAAAAAAAGATTTTTTTAGTCGAATATAGCAGATAATCACAAAAATAGTTTACCCTTTGCTTGTGTCCTGCTGAAGTATTGAGTCAACTGTCCCCTGTCGTTGAGGTTTCATGTATTGACATTGTACCCACATGTTTACTTATTCATCAAGGCCAAAAAATTTCCAAATTTTTTGTATTGTGAAATTGAGTAGAAAACATTTTTATTATTTTTTTTAATCATGTGTTATGGATACCTGAAGTATAGTTTGAATATATATATATTCTCGAGCGATTTTTTTCCTTCCACACAAATCTTATTTATCCAGAAAAAGTTTTAAGCATAAAGATCCTATATACAAATACGACCATTTTATTGCATACATAACCCTGTAAACGAACTATGTGTTGGTGTAGCCCCATGGAAAACTAGTTCCGTTGTATCAATATGTTATAATTACCCGATAAAATCACTGCGACCCCCGTCAACACCCCAATAATTAGATATATCAGAGAAAATCACCGACAAACCAGGGGTCAAGTATAGGTACATGCGCTTTATTGCTGGAATTCAAGGCAAACAAATGTTGTTTAAAAACAAACATTTTTATTGAAGTTTTTTTTTTTTTTTTTTTTTTTTTTTTTTTGCAACAAAATCGCAAGTATGATATGTATGATCTATTTTAAAAATTCAATTCTTATTTATATGACGCACCTCTAGGCAGAACTATTCATACAGTTCAAACTTTCTCTTTGTTTTGCAAGATTCAAGATTTGACCTTCAAATCGTTTACTTTGACGTAATTATCACAATGAAATCAAAGGCTCACTATGTACTTTTATGCATAGCTTAGGGGATATTCCAATCCAACTGTATCGATCGGTCCAAAGACTTGATTCTTCAAATCTGTAATACAAATGGAACTCAGAATTTTTCATACCTTGTGATTGGTTATCCATATAATTACTTTGTCAAAAAAGTGTCTGATTCTGCGCACTAAAATACTCAATTCAATTTCAATTCAAGGACCAGGTCTTCCATTAATCTGTTGGAATTTCGATGGGCACTAATTGTACTCCTTTATTAGCAGATCTGTTTTTATATTCTTTTGAAGGAGAATTCATTCCTGCTTGAGAAGAAGGAAAACTTATAGAGACACAGTTTTACCAATAAACGGTAGTTGTTTTCATTTAATTATCAATTTGTTAACCCGATATATCCCACTTAAAAAATTTGAAATCACAATATTTACGAAAATCTATACTTTTCAAAACTTCATTCAACAATTCTCCACGATAAAGTAAAGACCAGTCTTTTTTACATCATCGACAACTGCTTCTTCAATAGAAATGGAACTTCTAAATTTACTTACCTTGTCATTGGTCATCTGCAAAATTATTTTGTTAAAAATAATTCTGAAACTAGACACAAGTACTCCGAGGTTGATATTAAAAAGATGCTTGAATTGACAAGATCCCTGAAGTCTTTGGAGACTAGATCTTCAAATAATCTGTTGCATTTCCCATGAATACTAAATTACTAATTATGCCCTGTTATTAGCAGATCTTTTTTGTATTCATATGTAGAATTTATTTATAATATTCTAGAGGAAAAGAAGAAGTCTTTTGCTGTACAACCATCAATTCGACATTTAGATACATTTAAAATAAAAGACACCACAAAGTCTGATTTATTTGTTTCATATTTGGATATTTTACTATAGAGAGCAATTGATGACACGCTATCAAATCTAAATTTTATGATAAACGTGATGACTTCAACTTTTCTATCCTCAACTTCCCATATTTATGCAGCATTATATCATTATCACCTGCATATGGAATTTATATTCCCCAGTTGATTCAATACATAAGAGCGTGTTTTACAAACGAACAATTTCTAAAGCGAGTCAGCCTACTGTCAAATAAATTGATGATACAAGGATGTCAACAATCACGTTTAAAATCAGCATTTTGCAAATTCACACTGAATTGTCTACGGATTTTACCGTATACCCGACAAGGAGCACGCGGCAGGTGTGACCGGTCGACAAATTATTAACTAATAACTACACTGTATGACAAACGGAATGACTTCCGCTTTTCCATCGTCAATTTCCCTTATTTAATAAGTAATATTCCAACATCACCTGTATATGATGTTTATGTCTCCGAACTGATTCGATATGCTCTGAATACGATCAAATTTTAAACCAATGCAAGCTACTGAAAAATAAGTTGATGTTACAAAGAATTCAACAATCCTGTTTAAAGTCAGCCTTTCGCAAATTCTACGGTCGTACGTTATAATGACTTTGTTCGTAAATCAACCTACCGTTGGGTCGTATTTTG